ACAAATAGAATTTATATTAAGAGATCATAGAGTTCCTCAAAAAGTTCAGCATAAATTACCATATGACCCGGAACTATTATTCCTGAGTATATAGCTGAAGGATCCTGGTGGCTTAGTGGGTTACACGTTCGACTGTTCATCTCAAGGTCCCCAGTACGAAACCACCAGCTGCTCCTCAGGAGAAAGATGAAGTTTTCTACTTTCTCAAAGAATTATGGTCTCCTAAGTCCATGGGACAGTTCTATTCTCTCGTATAGGGTCACTGACTGGATGGCAGTGATTTTGATTGGTTGGGGGTGTATATCTGAAGGAAGACGCTCCAGATGCACTGAAGGCATTAGAGAAAAGCAAGTGTCCAGGATTAACAGAATACTGGTCGAAAGTTGTTTTCAGAAATGCGTGCGCTGGAGAACGAGGGAATATTGCCTGGTTTAAAATCAAAAAATATGTTTTTCCGAGTTGTGTCCCTTTACCATATTTATTCAATCTGTATGCTGATTAAATCATCAGAGAAGCTATTTGAAGACAAATGAGATGTTAGGATTGGAGGAAGACTCATTGACAACCTGCAGTGTGCAGATGCCACAGCGTTGCTTGCTGAGGATGAACAGGACTTGGAGCACTGATGGATGAAAATCAAAAACTACCTGCAACGTTTAGTATGGAATACACCTCAACATAAAGAAGATGGAAATCCCTGCAACTAGACCAGCAGACAGAACTATGATAAATGGTGGAGAAAATATTGACATTGTCAAGGATTTGATTTAACTTGGGTTCCCAGTCAATACCCATGGAAGCAGCAGTCAGGAAAACAGGTGATGTATGACACGGGCCAAATCGGCTGCAAAAAAAACTTGATAAAGTGCTAAAAAGCAAAGATGTCACTTTGAAGACAAAGGTGCGCCTGACCCAAACCATGGCATTTAAATGACCTCATATGCAAGAGAAAGTGGGACAATGAATATGGGAAGCCAAAGAACCATCAATACTTTGAAGGATGGTGTTAGCAAAGGACCTGGAATACGCCATGCACTGGCAGAAGAACAAATGAATCTGTCTTCCAAAAGTACTGACAATGCTTCTGACAAGTGGGTATGGAGGGGCTGTGTCTCGGGATATCGAAGACATGTTGTCAGATGGACCAGTCCCCAGAAAAGGAATCACGCTTGCTGAAAGAGAGAGTTGGAGCAGCGACCAAGGCCCTCAAGCAGATGGCCTGACACAGCGGCTCCAACATCGCGGTTGTGAGGACGGAGCACTGTTTCATGCTGTTGCACACTGGATGGCTATGACTCGGAGTCTACTTAACAATCACAACAGATACATCCCCAAGAGACTGGGCTACAGGAACTCAAAAGCAGTTTAGTTCCACACAGCATCCATTCTGGCATGAGGTTATAAAAGAGGGCAGAAATTCTGATTAGGAAACAAGATGTAGCAAACACAATAGCTTCCCCCATATTTTACAGACCTCTTATAATTTTTGATGCTAGGTATAGAATTATACAGCACTTTTGTGACCTATCATCTACATGCCTATTAAAGTTTGTTGTTGTTGTTGTTGTTGCTAGGTGCCATCGAGTTGGTACCAACTCACAAAGCTCTGCTCGATCCTGCGCCATCCTCGCCATTGTCCCTATGTTTGGAACATTGTTGCAGCCACCGTGCCAATCCATCTCATCAACGGTCTTCCTTTTCCCACTGCCCTTCTACTTTACCAAGCATGATGTCCTTCTCCAGGGACCGGTCTCTCTGGATACCATGTCCAAAGTCCATGAGACAAAGTCACCCCCGTTCTCCCTTCCAAGGAGCAGTCTGTGTACATCTTCCAAGACAGATTTGTTTGTTCTTTTGGCAGTCCACAGCGCTTTGAATAGTCTTCAACAGTACCATGATTCAAAAATATCAATTCTTCTGTGGTCTTCCTTGTTCGATGCCTAAGTCCAAGTTTCACAATCATCGTAGATAAATGAAAATTATCTCATGACTTGAAGTCAGGTGTACCTTAGACCTCAAAATGGCATCCGTGTTCTTCAATCTTTAAAGAAATTCAAGTGTCCATCAATACTTAAGTAGACAAGCAAAATGTTGTATAGAATCATACACACAGTGAACTATTACGCAACCATGAAGAGAAATGAAATGCTGATGCATTCTACAGCATGGATGACCCTTTAATACATTATACTAGCTTTTGTGTTAGACCCAAAAGAAAAAGTATTGTATGATTCCATTTATATGAAATATAGAGAATAGTCCATTGCACAGAAACAAAATCATATTAGTGTTTACCAGAAAGGGAGAAAAAGAGAAATTGTTGTTAAGGGGATGTACTGCATTTCTATTTGGGGTGATGAAAAACATTTAGACATGGATTGTGGTGGCAATTGTACAAGATGAATGTAATTCACTTCACTGAATTGTACACCTACAAATGGTGAAAATGGCAAATGTTTTGCTATATATTTTTTACCACACAAAAAGTTTCAAATGATTAATCCCTGAAAATATGAAATAATAATACAGCATTATTCTTGGCAACAAAATGTGATTGAATCATTACTTCCCACCTCCCCACATTTATGGGAATTTTTTAGGAGGTTGATAGGATCCGTAGCAGTAAGGATCTAGTCATCGGTCCTTAGCAATGCCTCCCCTCAGCCAGCAGCCAAATCTTCCTCTCACCCTCAGCTACTTGGTCCTTTGTCTTCTCCCCTGTGGGTCAAGAAGCCTGCGGCTCTGTCTCGCTGTTCTGTAGTCTCTGTGCTGCTCCTCGGCTCTGTCCAGTGGCTCCGTGCCTCAGTCTCCAGTGCCTGTGGTCTCCACCGCTGTCACATCAGACCGAGACCTGGGGCAGATTCTTCCCGTGGTGCTGGTCTCTCTCTCTCTCTCTCTCTCTCTCTCTCTCTCTCTCTCACCGTTTTCTTGGAAGAGCCTCATATTCTTGGGTATCCTACATTTAGTTCAGAATTGGTGAAAACTAAGTATTCTACTTAACACTTAATTGCTAACAAGGAAATTGTTAGCAATGTACATTTGTAAGTATTTGAACTTCAGAACTTGTCTATGAGGTTATTCGCAACTACATAAGCAGCGTAAGCAGAACTCTACTAGAAGTAGGTATTTCATTTTATTTTAAGGCATTGTGAAAAAGTCCTTATATTTTAATTTGCCAATTGAGAGCATGAATTGCATGCAGCAAGGTAGGAAGGTGAGTCTATATGTAGACATGTCAAGAGGGTTTGTTTGAGGTCAAATATACACAAACCAATGATTGGTCCACTTTGTTGTTGTTGTTGTTGTTGGATGATGTCCATTTATTTCCAACTCATAGCAACTCTAGGTTAACAGAATAAACCACTGCTCCGCCCTGCGCCAGCATCACACTTGTTATGCTTGAGCCGTTTTGGGAGCCACGATGTCAATTCATGGCCTTGACCATCTCCCCCGTTTTCACTGGCCTTCTGCTTTCCCAAGCACGGTGCCCTTTTCCAGGAACTGAACCGTTAGAATGGCTCGCCATCCTTGATTCTAAGGAAGATTCTGACTGCGTCTCTTCTAAGACAGATGTGTTTGTTCGTCTGACATTTCACAGTTCAAACGCATCAATTCTTCCGAGGTCTTCCTTATTCAGTCTTCGACTGTCACATGCACTGAGGCCATTGGAAAATACCATGGCTTGTGTCAGAGGCATCTTACTTGAGTTAATTAATTGTGCCAACCTGGCCGATAATCACATGTGGGGCTAATTGAAAGGCGGAGGGATAAATGGGTGGTCAGCTCACCTTTCTAGTTCTTGGGTCTCTTGCTTTGTGATGGTCGCACCAGGGTGCAGCTGCCTTAGCAGTTCCCTGCTTCAGCTTGCAAGAT